CAAAACCTGTTGTTTACATGTTGGTTTTGTCAGGTCAACGACAAGGAGACTCGGGAATTTCGAGGAAAAAAAACATGAGGTTACTATTCAATTAAAATTAAAACGTAATGATAAAATTATGTATACAAATCGGGATTCCATCAATCATAGCTCGTGACGATAGCAGCTGTCGTTCGCAAGACGTTGACAGGCCGCCATCTTGGAAATACCTACACAGGTCAACATGTGACCGGAAAATTACAAAAATTCGATTAGTTTTTTTGCTTGGACAAATTATAACATACGCGTACCCATTAATCTATGAAGATATCCATAAATAATCTAAAAAAAGTTTACAGTAACGAGTAATGTTTTTTTTTCATGCTGTATCTATACCAGCCTCGTGTCTAAGATGTTGATTGAAATCGGTGTAGGCCTACCATGTTCGGTGTTCTTACGATCCGCAAAACATACACACACTGGCATTTTATTTCTAAAATTATGAAATCTTACCTGAACAATCTGAAGTTGACCTTAACCAGGGAAAGTCTTCTTCCACGACTCATCAAAACCAGCCTCACGCCGTTTCTGTGTTTCTACACGCTTTCGTTTCTGTGCTGTGCTAGCGGTGATTGTACGTTTTAGCTGGGCGGCATCACCTTTCTTTCCTTTACATTTTTTTGTCATATAGCATCTCATTGTTTGCAACTTGAGTGACAATTTGTTCCCCATTGACAGCGTCTATACTTCACATGTGTTTAACAATGGGACTGTTTAATTTGTCCCGGCAAGTTCAAACTGCCGTGGCGTTGACGGTGATAATTTATGCAGCGCTACGTGTGAGCGGTTCAAATGGATGTAAACAATGTGTCCTATTAGCATGGCGGTGAAGTTGAAAGCATGGCGGTCCGAGCCCAAGCGTGGTGGCCGGGTCGCCAAGCATGGCGGTGCCGCCATGCTTTGTTCTATGTGGGGAGAACACTGCGTAGAAGACGACATGGAGGTAAAAAAGAGGAGTCCAAGCCAAGCTTAGATCAAAGGTACCAGGATGGTCGCCGCTGTTTGTAGATCAGGGAGTTCATTTGTCGAACGGACCAAGGAGGACAGTTTCCGCTTAGCGCAGTGAGGATTACGATGCATTAGCATACTACGGACGCCTTTGACAGCATTTGGTGATTTTCGTGACAATTCTAGTCAAATTCTTATAAACAAATATGGCGACGGTAGATAACGTGCACAAGTTTGACTGAAACTGCCAAATGCTTCAATTCAGAAAACGTAAACGAACTCGAAGAGCATATTACAGACTAAGAATTGTTTTGCATATGCTGTAAACAAAAAAATGAAGCGAATTTTTACCTCTATGCACTGCCATAGGAAGTAGGACATGCACAGGATATAAAAGTGTCATTTCGAACCTCAAAATTCAGTCTCTGGTACAACGCGGTGCGGTCTATGTCATGCACCATTGCAAAGATCATTAAACAAGCTTTATTTTGGACTAAAAAACAGTACTAGCAAGGTTTCGAAACAATACCATATTGCCGATTCAATAATACAACGGAAAATTTTCTGAAAAACGAAAAATTACATAAACTTAACATAAAATTCTCTAATTTTCAAAATTCCAACGTTCCCGTTCTCACAAACACGATTCCTCTACGTATAAAATATCTGCGCATGCTTTATGTCCTTTAAGATTTACTGCGACACCGTAAAAAAGACCTTGGAGTTTTGTACTGTACGCAGCAACGCTTTGAGGGTAAATGACGCGTCGGCGACGATCCTGGGGTGAAAGGACGATAAGACAAAGGGAATTATAGGATTAAACTTGGCTAAAACAAAAGAAGTTTAGAAGGATTATTTTGGCTGTGACTCCTTCTCTTTTTACCTCCATGAAGACGGAAAGGAGGGTATTTCAACATTTGTCACAATATTCTTACCTCGTAGTGTTCACATTCAGGCTTGCTATATGATGTTGTAATTTATCAATATATACCCTATTGTACATGAGATATCATGTGTAGTGAGACAAATGAAGACATCCTGTTATCAAATCGGTGCTAGACTGATTTTACTCGGGGAGTAGTTTTTCACTTTAGAAATTAGTAACCTTTTCTGAATTCTGTGATTTGAATTGTGTAAACGCTTATACCCCATCATTTCAAAATTGTGTCCCATATTTCAAGAAACTACATGTTATTCTTGAGCTCTCTAGACAAAACTTTTGCAATGTAAAACAAACTTCACAGCTTGTCAGCTCTTGATCACTCTTTTCTACGAACAATTCAAAACTTGCACATGTGCGTTTTATTATCTGCCATATTTAATTTTTTCAATGGTAATTATGAATGCTGCCTATTTTGCAATTCAGAGCGATAAACCATGAAATGTGCAGCAAAATGATGCAATTGAAATTGAAACTCACTCTGTTAGTGAATTAGTGTTGGATGATAATGTCACATTTGATGTGGGAAAGTCGTTCTGTTTAGTCTGTTGCCGAATGACTCAAGGCAGTCACGGAGTGCGGAGTGGCAATAAAGGTATCTGTCAAGGTTGGAGGAAATTCAAACTGCATTGTTCAAAGACATTTTCGAGGGTAAAATGCAACAAGATCAAAAATGTATTTTTTGTATACTAGTATACTGCAGCACACATCCCTATGAAGATGAGTGTATAATTGAATTGGTATGATGTTGTATGTCCAGACACTAGTTATATCATGTATGCCTAAATAAATATGTGAACTTTTGATGCCTTTGTTTCTATGACTTATGCTGACTATTTGCTCTGAAGATGATACTTTTCAGGCTTATTGGGGAGGAGGATGTGAAATATGTGAAATGAAAGACTAGTGTATACATAAGAAAAATTAGCTCAAAACAAAAGACTCAATTGAATGTCAGTTTATTCTTTTTATGGTGTTACCAATATTTTGCATAACAATTATTGCACCTCTTCTGAATTTTGTCACAGTAATTAATTCCCCGAAACATTGACATCTGATTCACATAATACTGTAATTTGCATGAAAAAACAGTGTTCATTACCTCAATTGTATTCATGGTGATAATTATTGTTTATCTACCATTACAGAGTAGAGCTTGACATTGTAATGCTACTTTTCATGACAAAAAAAAAACATTTTAGTGATTTGTTTCAGCAGCTTTAATGTGTTTTTCAGTTTCATATAATTTTGTGTAAAAGTTATCTATGCATTGTGTTTGTGTCTGGACCATAAATTGTACATACTATGCTGTTATACACTACATGGCTTCATTTACATTATATTATCTGTTTTTCAGATTGACATAGAATAATGCAACATTCAAAGGATGAAGGGGGTGATCGGAAGAAGCAGTTGGGGCAGCAGTTGCTGCAAATGATGATGGAAAATGTAAACCAAAATCATCTCCCATCTGATACTCAAGTGAAGCAAATGATGCAAATAATGCAACAGGAGTTCGCTTCGCAGATAGAGAAACAACAGAATCAGCAGTCAGATTCGTTTCAGCAGTCTGACTCTGCAGCATATCCCAACAGGTCACCACCCTCCCATTCCTATACACCAACAAATACTACAGACTATAACCATGAACGGACTGTTTACCAACAGTCTTCTCAGGGCATGCAAATTCCTACACTTGGTGCTTCACAAGCACAGAGATCACCACTGTTGCAGAATCCTGTACCACAGAATAAACCATCCGTTCAAACTGGGCAGAATCAACAATCATTGCCAACTGGGCAAAATCAGTCATATTTGGCTACTGTGCAGGATCAACAACAATTAGCTACTGGGCAGAATCAGTCATATTTGGAAACTGGATCAAATCAACAATCATTGCCATCAGGGCAGACTCAGTCATATTCAACAACAGGGCAGACTCTACAGTCAATGGCATCAGGGCAGAATGAGTCGTATTCTACAACAGGGCAGACGCTACAGTCAATGGCATCAGGGCAGAATCAGTCATATTCAACAACAGGGCCGACTTTACAGTCAATGGCATCAGGGCAGAATCAGTCATATTCAACAACAGGGCCGACTTTACAGTCAATGGCATCAGGGCAGAAACGGCCACTTTTGCCAAATGTGCAGACTCAGCCACTTTTGCCAAATCCTGAACAGTCTGATAAAGCAGGAATTCAAAATCTGTTAACTTCCTTAGAAGAAAAGTTGAGATCTGGAACCACAACCCCCCAAGCAGCTGCTCAGATTAGAGCTTTGCATGGAAAAATATCTCGACTGGTTGCACTACAGACTAGTGCACAGAGTTATAGTGGTGGTGGTGGTGGTGGTGGTGGGCAGACCATAGGTGCATCACTACTAGAGGCTTCTATGCCATCTTTCTCCAGTATGGCAAACCGTCAAAGCTTGCTGCAATCTGGTTTTAACACACAAGTGTCTAGATTCAGAGAGCCAATGCAATCACCAATTGGTATCATTGATAAGCTCCATGATTATGGTTACTCTTTGAATCTACAATCAACTAGACAGACTGCTGGCAATCCCTGGTATGCTGGCAACAGTTCTAGGATGGCACAAATGAATTATCCAGAAAGCAGAAAAAAACGTTATTCGGTAGGATCACTGTTTATATTATTGTCTGAGAATCTATTTATTGCATGCTTGATTGTGTGTGTTGGTTTTTGTGTAGAAGAACCACACACTGCGATCATTCCTTGAAAAAACCACACAGTGCAACCATTTTCTCCGAGGCTTTTATAATAGTTGGCTAATTCAGCTAATCTATAATGACTCAACAAGAATGTGAATTGAATCTCAGTTGAGGACAACCTGTCAGTTACCAAATAATGTGGTAATTTTTGTGAAAACATTTTAGCATTAGTGATTGTTTTGATGTTTTGCTATTTGAAATGGGCATCTTGATATGTTGACATAGCACACCAATATTATGACACATGCCTGTTCAGGGTGATTCATGTTATTTATAGTATTGTGTGATATATTTTACTGTCTACATATTGGTGAATTGTTGTCACCTT